TATTGAATGAGTCTTACATGCCCTTAAATACTTATTTTTGCTTTTAGGTTTTAAAAAATTGCAGATTTATTTTTCATTTATAGTTCTAGAAATATCTTGAATTAAATCCTCCTCCTCCTTTTCTTTTCCTGTCTTTCATATGTTTTGTCTTCAACAGATTCTGATTGCTTGATCTAGTCTTCTATCATGACTTGTTTATTCATTTTTTGTCCGTGTGTGTGTGTGTTGTACTCATCAGGAAGGAGGTCATGCATGCTAAACTGCCCATGTAAAGGTCAGAGGACAACCTTGGGTAGGAGTCCTTACCTTCCACCTATTTTTGATACAGGATCTTTCTTGTTCATTGCTATGAAATCTAGGCTAGCTGGCCCACTAGATTCTCTGCTTCCCATGTCCCACAATGGACACGAGGATTTCAGATGCTTGCAATGTTAGGTATGTCTTTTACCTGGGTTCTGGGGATCTGAACTCAGGTTACTAGAATTGCATGGCAATTGATATTCACACACACACACACACACACACACACACACACACACACACACACACACACACAAACACACACACACAAACACACACACACACACACACACTTAACCATATCCTCAGTCCTCAACTTTATTATTTGTCTTATTGAGCTCTTTATTTCTAAAGTCTGTTAACTTTTTTCAAAATTTCCATTTCTTTGCTAAATTTCACATTCATATCTTTGTCTTCCTAATTTATGTAAGTGTTTATCTATACTCTCTTGGATCTCATTAAAATGTTTTATAAACATTTATAATTTTTCCTTTAAAAATTATTACTGTGTGTATGTGTGCATATACGTACAACTGTCATGGCTTGCATTTAAAGGCTAGTTCTCTTCTTCCACCACAAGTTCCAGAGATTAAAGTCAGGCTGTGTGGCAAGAATTTCTACTTGCAGGTCCTTTCTAAAATTCTTTCAGATATTTTCTCCATTTGGTTATTGTCATCTGTTGCTAGACAGTGACATTCTCCTCCTCCTCTGCTCCTCCTCTCTTCCTCCTCCTCCTCTTTTCCTCTTCCTCCTCCTCCACTCCTTCTCTCTTCCTCCTCCACCTCCTCTTCGCCTCCTCCTTCCTCTTCCTCTTCTCCTCCTCCCCCACCTCCTCCTCTTCTACATTTTTCAAGACAGAGTTTTTCTATGTAACCATGGCTATCTGGAACTCATGCTGTAGATTCAAATTCAGAGAGATTTGCCTGCCTTTGCCTCCAGCGTGCTGGGGTTAAAGGTGTAGGCCACCACCACCCAGCCAACAGTTACATTCCTAATACATATTAGTTTTGCATACTATATGTTTTTGCCTATATGTAGATTTTTATATTTGGTAGATCAGAGATCTCTACTAATTTTTTTTTTAGTTGCCTTCTTAGTTTTAGGACTTTTCATTGAAAATGTACCTTGGCACAACACCTTCTTAGAGAATATTGGCTTTGATTCTTCCCAGACTTTATTGTTCTTCCTTTCTTTGGCTGTGAACAGTGGCATTGCAAGGTTATGCACCATGATGTCATAGAAGAGGACCGCTGCCTCTGTGTGATTTACAAGAGAGAGCACTAGCGGTGCAGGCAGGTATGGTACGAACAACAATGTGTGCAGTGCCCAGCGTGGCTACTCCCTCAACGGGAGTGTTGACTTGAGTTATATGTTGGGGCTTTCCCCAGGCTCTTTTGATGGCACTCCAGCCACTATCAAGGGCCATGGGTACTGACAGCCTGAGATGCTGTGGGCTTTGAAATGCTTCTCCTCTGGCCAGCCACTTATGCTATAGCCATAGGAGTGGCTGGGACAGGAAAGACAGCACCCCTTTGTTGAACTCATTCTTAGTTCCTCAACAGGTGCATTCAAATGTGGGTAGGAAGGGGGTGGCAGAAACTGAGAGAGGTGATTAACAGAAACCATAGTGTTTCTCCCTATATTTTATTGACAATGGACTCCTAGAAGTTGAACCAAGGCCAGAATCATACAAAGATATCCTCCTTAGCCTTCTTTGGGCCTGCAAGACTCCATACACTCCCAGAGTAGCCCCATCTGTTGGAGACCATTGGGTCAAACACAAGAACCTGTGAAGGTCACTTGTCCTTGTCACTCAAAGCATAATACTCAAGTAGGAAGTCAGGATCCTATCCACTGTAGCATCTACTAGTGGAGCTCTGAGGCTAGTCACTGGAAGGAATCTTCAAGCATGAGGCAAAGGAGATGTTGACAGATGTGGCAGTGGCACACACCTTAAATCCCAGCACTCAGGAGGCAGAAGCAGGCACATCTCTTTGAGTTCGAGGCCAGCCTGGTCTACAGAGTGAGTTCCAGGACAGCCAAAGCTGTTACACAGAGAAACCTTGTCTCAAAAATAAACGAAAAAAAAATTATATTCCTACCTGATCCTCACCATAGCTATGGTGGCTGCAGTGTGCTGATCTTCCAGATATGGTTCAGTGACACTATCAGACTAAATCCAAAGCCAGATGCTGTCTCTAGCATTACATTTCTTAAAGCTCCAATCGAGAGACTACTGTGGGACTGAACAGATGCCTCAGTGGTGAAAGGCATTTGCTGTTCTTGCAGAGGACTGTGGTTCTGTTCCCAACATCACAGGACAAATGGTAGACATGTGTAACTTCAGTGCTAGGGGATGACACCCTCCTCCCCCCTCTGAAGGCACCAGGCACACACCTGCTACATACATGTGCATGTAGGCAAAACATTTATACACATAAAATCTTTAAGTCCACTGTGGTTGGGCATGGTGGTACACGCCTTGAATCTCAGCACCTGGGAGGCAGAGACAGGAAGATCTAAGGCCAACCTGGCCTACGTAGGGAGCTGCAAGACAGCAGACTACATAGAGAGATCCTGGCTCAAACAACAACAAATGGCCACTGAGACGGTTAGGGCAATGGTTCTCAACCTTCCCATTGCTTCGACCCTTTAATGAGTTCCTCATGTTGTGGTGACCCAACCATAAAATTGTTTTCATTGCTACTTCTTAACTATAATTTTGCTACTGTTATGAATTGTAATGTAAGAATTTTTTTGGAGATAGTTTATTTGGTCTAAACCCACAAGTTTAGAACCACTGGGTTAGAGCATCACATTAACACACATTTCTCCTACACAAGGGATAAAAGCAAGAGTTTTTTTTGCCTATGAATCCTCAGTCCTGTAGTTTTAACACATCTGGATTCATCTAGAGAGGGGAGAAGAAGCAAAGTCCTTTTCCGTAGTGCGCATTTCACCCAATACATAAGTAGACCTCTCATTTCAGCTTGAATTAAGAATTGATTAGAGAATACAGTGTCAAGTTGAGTAGATTAAGCATCATTGAAGTTGCAGAAAGAGAAGCTGCCAAGAGCATATTCAGCGCATGTGTATGTTAGGAAGAGTGACTCAAATGGATCAGAATAAAAGAACCTTAGTTCTGAAACACACTGCAAAAACCAGAATAATGTAAATTACAGTTAATCCCTTTCTCAGTATTATGTTCATTTCTCCTGGAAGGAGGCACCCCCTGGCCAGATGAGTGATAGAAGTCAAGCAAATGTTTCATGGAACAAGGGCAGCCCTCATCTGAATTCCGGAAAGAAATGTTCCGTGCCCTCCCCTCCCCTCCGCCCCAGTCTCTGACAGAATGCTCACCTCCCAGTGGCTTTTCAAACCAACAGCATCAATTTAGAGCTCTTGGGACACAGGGGGCATGCATCTTGTTGAATCAAGTCATTTCTCCCGTGTCCTGGTTCTCCTGCAGCAGATCAGGCAGGAGTTAAAGCTATAAAGCGAAAGTACAGTTCTCCGATGTGGGAACTGTCTGGATGTTAAAGCAACTCGAGGATGCGGGAGGCAGCCGCTTACACTAAGGGCAGCTTTGCACGGGTTTGGTTTAGGCGGTTTTAGGAGAGGTAAGGGGCCAATGGCACTTGGTGAACGCTGGCTCATCGGTCACTTCCGGCTGTCTAGCCATTCGAGTGCCCTGTAAGCTCGGCTGCAAGCTTGTCTCCAGCCCCTTCTGTAGTGTGCTGACAACATGCCCAGCTTCTGGAGGTTTGTGCGATCAGTGTGCGGAGGGAGCTAGCGGGGGAGGGGGGGGACACACCTTTCAGGTGTGTAGTGTTTGACTGCGGCTCTCTGACCTTACATTAAGTGGACGGTGGGAACTCATGGAGGTTTGAGTAGATGATGCCCAGGGGATTCAACTTTCAAAAAGCTACTGGGTGGCTGCTCATGGCATACAGGCTTGGAGCAGTCATGGAAGGCATCTGTCAATGAGCTGAAAGTTACCAGGGCCCAAAGCTTGAACCACTTGAGTCAAATTTGTCCCTAGGCCAAAAGAAAAAAATATGGAAGAGGAAGTTCCCTTATTATAGGCATGATGAAAATGATTGCCCTCTAATTTTGGAATAGTTAAGCTACAAGACTCTCATAATTGTTAACCATGCCCTGTGGATCTGGGAAGCATTGCAACCCGAGTGCTGTGGGGTTGCAAACTGACATGATGGACATGCAAAGAATAGATGAGGCTGGGCTGAAGGCACTGCTGCTTCAAGCCTCCCGAAGCCACATGGGACAGGTAGAGCTGGTACTGCTCAGGCAACCTTTCCTGCACCAGACTCTTGAAGGCCTTGCATAGGCAGGCCGTGGACATTTAGGAGTTAGCACGAACAGGCTTCGATTACCGACTCAGACCAGGGCTTAAGCCTGAGAATGTGTACCAGCTGATGCTGACAGCTGAAATGACATCCTAGGGTCAGCTGCTGTGGTCACTCCATTCCCTATTACCTGTCTTTATGTGTAGAGGAAATAAATAGGCTGAAAGAGAGCAGAAGAGGGGGTGATGAGCAGAGAAACAGCTTTGGGGTATTCATTTTGATTTCATTGAACATGTGGAAGGAACTGTGTAAAAGGAACTGTAAAACAAAACCCACTTCATCCCATTTTACCTTATTTATAGAACAGAAACTTCTGCAATAGGATACTTCGAGTGCATTAAATAAATATAAATTTTATTAAAAACACTCACATAGCATTATCAGGAATGATATAATAATAAACAGCTTTCAAATAGCCTGCATAACATTACAATACTTACAGTATTTATAACCACCCTCAGATTTTATAAACAAACCCAGTATCTCATGAATGAAACTAAGTTAAAAAAATAATCCATAGAAAAATGCACACAGAAGTTCAATATCTTAGTGTCAAACTGCAAAACCTTTTCCTAAGTTAACAACTACCTTTGTAAAGTGAACTCTCCCTCACTGTTCGTCAATCAAGATGAAAATTTCATTCAAGCAATGTTGACACCATGCAGAAACACTTTCAAGTATGGCTCTGTAGTCAACCTACTCCTATAGAAGCCAATCACTGGGCTGCTTTCCATTGATCTAATTGAGAGGTTGCATGTCATTTAATTGCCTCTCTTCCTACACGACCCACCCTCTCTAAACCGCACTCCCTGTTCCTGTTGGCCAGCAGTTTGACAAATGACAGTGGGTGACATACAAAAGCAAGCATTCCTCATGAATGGATGGCTCAACATTGCCAAATGCACCTGCAGGAACCCGATGTTGTGGACTCAACATCATGGTGTGAAAACCATTAAACTTACGTTTAGTGTGTGTGTGTGTGCACCAAGGAGACATTTGGAAAGTTTTAATGACAAAATGTGACCAATTAATTACAAAGGTCTCCACTGATCATAAAGCTAATTGAAAAGCTAGTAAGCAACACCATATTTAGGCCACAATGTAACAAGAGTCCTATTGCACAGCACACCAGCAGGTTCTAGCACTGTTTAAAGACACTCATGGACAGGAACCTGTAGTCATTACTAGATCAAAAAACCTTTGAGGACTTGGCCAACAGCCACATGATGACCTTTTCTTTCACAAGTTTCCCTTTATCAGGTCAGTGTATTCTATTTTAAATTGTTTACTTTTTAAAATCACTGAAACTCTCCAAACTTTAAAAATGCTTTTCTTTATAATCAAAAGTCAACAAGTTTACAAAATTAGTTGCAGCTATCAGTCCATGTACAAACAAAATAGGAGGGATTTGAAATAAGAATTAAATCCCTGAAAAATATATTAACTGACAACTTTACATAAACACAGATGACATGTTGGCATAAGGAGAACGAGCTGAAATATCCCTGAATTTTTAGAACAAAAAGTTTGAAATTCAAGTTATACTTGCTAAGAAATCAAGTATTAAAAAACGGTATGTTTTAATAATAAAAAGACTTTTTTAAAAATGGTGGTATACAATGCTATAAGCTTTCACTTAGTTCAATATATCCCATTGCCAAACTAGTGTTGAGGTATATGACAAGTAGGAACATCACTCAAACTTATAATCAATTCTTAGCTCACATTAGCATCTGTGTAGCAGTCTGAGTAGCACCATCGTGATGTGAATTTTGTTTCAATCTCATATATATATATATATACTATATATACATATGTATATATTTAATTTTTTACAGTACTAAAATACTAAAGCATTTCATTAAAAAAGTTTTGTTTTACAATTTAATTTACTATACAACTTTTATCTTTTTATACAAATTATGATTTGAAATCACCACAGCAAACCAGCTGCCTATTTTGTTTAGGGATTTTGTTATGCAACCAACAGATTCATATGGACTCAACCCTGTCTACTCATCTGACGCAGGCATCAGTCCACTCCAGCTTCCTGGTAACTAGAACACTTGAGCAAAGAAATGACATTGCAATGCATGAGTCACACAGAGGCAGCCTGCTGCTGTCCTGAAGAATATACAGGCCCACCAGACAGCTTAAGTGGACAAGCTTGGCTGGCTCTGTAGCGTTCAGCTAGTTATTGCCTGCATTAGCAGAGAATCTGAAACTGGACACACAGAAGCAATGAACTTGTCATACCATTAGTATAGCATGTAAGATGAGCACCAGAAAGCATGTGTTTTGTGGACTAACACATCTGTTCAGCTTCGGTTTGGATTTTACAGGCGTGTCAACAAAGAATACTGCTCATCAGCAGATACATGGCTAAAAGCAAATGTTTTAAAAGCTTTCCTTTAAAAAAAATAATCTTTTAATCCTAAATGAAAGTAAACTTTTTAAAAAAAACATCTCAGTACCTTAGCATTGTTCAAGTTGCCAAAGCTTAGGTAGGCAAAGTGCTTCTAAAACACCACTTAAAATATTTCAATATACACATATTTGCACATATAAAAATGTGTATATGTATACATTATGTTTATAGTCCTACAAAGACATCACTGGATGAGCACAATCCAGGCCTTTAAAATGTCCACATTTTAAAAAGTAAGCTGTATAAGAATAAGACAGAAATGTAAATGGAAGGTACCCCAGTTCTTCAAGGGCACCAAGACTGTACTGGTAGCGTGATAAAAAGGCATCAATTCTTCAGCTATTAAAGACACCATTTTTGTAGCACCATTTCATGTAACACCCAAACGAATTCAGTGTTTTTCCATTATTCACGTAATCTTCCTGTAGCTACTTGGATAAATAAGTTAATATTAAGATATTACAGTAAAAACTGCATGCTAAAAAGCCACAATTCCAGTATTCGGTACATCATAGATCAGCACCAGATGATTCCTGCAACTGTCCTACTACAGTACTGTGTCCCATGACTATGCAAACTCGGTTTCAGAAGTGGTCACATGTGTCGAGTGGTCGGGGAGCATCTCACACACAAAAGACCATAGCCAATAAGAGAACCAGTGGTTTTGAAAATAGGAATTGTAGAGCACTTTCTTCTCACCTTCCCTTTGCATAGGATGCTTTGGTCTTCTTCCTGAATGCCTCCAGTGACCACTTGGGAAGTCAGTGGAGATTAAGTGCAATGGTAAAATTAATCCCTATTTTGCTGGTGAGCTGACATGCCCCCAATGCACACATACACACACACACACTGCATTTGTCATGGATGCTGTGACCTGCCCCTACGGCCCATGCCATGAAAGAGAGGTTGTTCTTGGTCTGGCACAAGGGGCAGCATCATTTAAATGTGTTGTAAGGCCCCGTGACCCGAGTGCAGGCATATGGAGATGTAGTCACTGTGGAGTTTGTGGTCAGGGACCCTGTGTTCTCAGCAAGGGACTGGATGAAGCGCAGGTAACTGGGCTCAGAAGGTTCCTGCAACTCTGTGGGCTCACGTTTCACCCTTTTGCCATGGCTTTTCTGAGACACGTGGTCTGGTCCACACTCTTCCTCTTTCCCTCGGTTCTTTTCTGCCACTTTGGCTTCCCAGCGAGCCAAACCATGTTTTGGGTCATTCAGGCTCTTATGCTGATAAAATACAAGTGAGATCCTTGCGGCGTTACCTCTTTTAGGATTATTGACTTTGGTGGTGGCATGATACTCTCGCTTTGCACACTCAATGAGAATTGATCCATGAGTTAGAGCCACAGCCACACCTCCAATGTCAGGATCCAGAAAGCAGTGCTCACTGTCTGACCAAACCTCCACAGAAGCAGCCTCCTCCACAGAAGAAGCCATGTCCTGGCTTGCTGCCCCAGGCTGCTTCTCCTGACTGCTCTCAGGCAGATTGGGTAATAGACCTTGGGCAGAAGCAGGACTACCGTGATTAAACCCTGGAAGCACCCTTGATAGCCCATTCACTGTGTGCGAGAGCATGGCGTCCTCCTTGTGGAAGGCGTCGTTGGAGCTGTTCGTCCTGCCCGCGGCTGCTGTGGTGTAGCTGTGGGTCGTGTGAGAAGGTGGATGATGCTCACTGTTTCTGACGTCAGTGTTTGGATTGCTCATGCTGTGTGGTAATCTGGAGGCAGCTCCCGTGAAATGGCCATCCATCTCAGGGGTGGGATAAGCAGAAATAGTTGCCAGGTAGTGTACATTTGGATTTATGGGACAGTTGGTAAAGGCATCTCCCTGCATGTTTTGGTTTCCATAACTTAAATACCTCTGTTGGTAAAATGTGTGGATTGGTGGGAGGTTCAGCTTGGTGAGATGGTCCTGGCCTGGATATCTACACAGATCCCCAGGCTGAGACTGGGAGTAAGAACCTAAGAAAGGAGAGCAGTTGTCCATGGACACATTCCCATTGCACTGATATGCTGCATATTGGTTATTCTGATTGAAATGCCCAGGGTAGGGGTTCATGGGGTCAGAAGGACTCAAATATGAACTTGCAGCTTGAGATGAGGTGGGATAAAGGTTCACATGGTTGGCATCTCCATAAATATCTGAAGTGTGTGAAGAGTTTGGATAAGGACTAAGTGGATTGGGCCGTCTCATGTACGGGTTGGTGGAGTAAGAGCCAATGGACTCAGACTGAGTGTTACTGGGCAAGTTATGCTGTGGCTGTGTCTGTGGTGGCTGTGTCTGTGGTGGCTGTGGCTGGTGTGACTGTGGCACTTGCTGAAGGTACCTCTGGAGTGGCTGGGGCTGCTGAATGACTGATCCTGAAAGCCGCAGTTGTTCTAAGGAGAGAGCAGGAACAAATACAGTGGACTGTTATTTTAAGAGCACCAGTGGAGAGACTTAAATACATGCAACAGCACTGGCAATCAATCCCCCCAAGCAAAGATGAACATTGTCAACATAATCTTTTGTGTCTGAAGTATTAGAATAATACATGCTGAACTTTGAAAAAAAAAAAGTATGTCCAGAGTCACTCAAAATGCCTCTGCCTATCTCCCTCCATTTCCTCCACTTAGGCCATGTCCTCATCTTCTATGCAAACGTAGTCTGGTAAGGAGGGACTGGATTACAGTAGTGCCCCCCTTACCTCTACTGTTCCTGGAGGAAGGGAACATGTTTCATTTGACTCGACCCTCAAATATCTGGCACCTGACAGGACTTGGTTGTAGAATTAAAATGACAAGAAGAATGGCATTTATCTGTCCTTAAAAAGCATCTTAGTGTTTTTTTTT